TTTCCGAGAACTATGAAAAAGGTCCTCGGAAGGTGTGTATGTTCTCGGAAGTTGCTATATATCTGTATTTTTGTCCTCGCAACATATAGCAATCCACACACACACACACAAACATACAGACACACTAACTGCAAAGACTCCCATTATGTGCTTCGCACATGGGAGTTAAAAATAAATGCACAAAATTTCAACTTAGTTTCATGGTAAGCAAATGTTTGCGGTCGCACACAAATGCTCAATGGGTTATGATATCCTCTGTTTTTTTTCCATAAGCCAGTTGACCTAAATCTCTTTGAATTGATATATCACATGGGTTAATAACTGGTCAGTATGTTTGATGGTGCCAGCAACTATAGGCCATTTAAATATGTTAATGAGGGTTCCATGAACTGGCAAAAGCAACACAGAAGAGATTCGATTGTTGCAGTACAACCTTTTGACATTGAGTTTGGTGGGAAAACACTATAATAGGTTTTATTACGAATATCAGTTTTAAAAAAAGCATTTAACACTTGTTATTGCGATAACAGCTCATTGTCAAAATGGACCTTACCCATTCATGCTAGTAACGATAAACATTTACGCTTGAATAGACATCAGTGACGTTGAAAAACCTGAATTGGACTCTAATTTAGGCATCAGGAAAGATAAAGGATGAATATTTATGGTAATGTGCATACGTTAATACAGAGCTGTTTTAGAAGTGGAATTGACATATTTAAAACTTGTCTGTAGTTTCATCATCATCATCCCTTGCATACCCTTTCAACTACCCATGTATATTATTGATATGCTGTGATATATGTGTTGTTACCTTGTATAGGAATTGATTGCATTTGAATAATCATTACGGAAATACAGTTCATTGCCTCGTTCTCTCTTCTTGTTACTGGAAATAATGAATTAAACACAGGAGTAATCACAGCAGGAAAATTCCATCGTTATACACAATATAGTCGCATATACGCAAAACTCAGACTGATCTAATAATGCAAACAAGCAATCAAATAAGGACATGCCCTTCTGATATAACATACATGTTACTGTTATGTGTGTTCCCATTATATTGTATTATTATAAATCTGTTTGTAAAAAATATCAATACAACTTTTTCTGTTTTAGATAGGAATAACTTCACTTGTGATTAAAACCAGATGCAAGTGAAAATCTGAGCATGTGATTCTGATTAATATATGGGCAACAATGTACATCACTTAAACTACATCTGACCAAATGAATGGAATTAGCATTAAGGTTGCTGCTATGATTAGTAAGCCAATTAAAGCATGCCTTACTATAAAGTGATCTGTAACACAAGTCATTGTTAATGACATAGTCCCCGTTGGAATTAGAGGAAATGTTATTCATGCCAAAAATAATGTACTATGGACCAAAGTCCTAGTTAGTAATTGAGAGCGAAGAGTTGGCTGGTCAAGTATCAACAAAAATTAAATGTTTTAAAAGAGAAGTCAAAGCAAACAACATATTGATCCCAGATGAAAGAGTTCCACAAATGTAGGAGAATGTAATTTACAGTTTTTTTATATCACTTTTCAATTTCTAGATATTCAAATTTTCAGCAGTACTATGTACTTGATTCCCCAGCAAGGATTATGGATTATAAGTGTGTTATATCCACTGTTGTGAAAAATTAAGAAAATATTTTCATCTATAACTTTAAATATTGAACTTCAAATTGGTTTAAAGTTTAAAATATGGTAGCATACATATACTGGTCCCAAACATGCATAAAAAATAGTTGTCATGGCAACAGAATTAAAAATATTAATTGGTCAAATGTAGTTTAAGCTGATGAAACTTCGGTGGTTGTTTATGTTTCAATGCTGCTTGTGTATGGTTTTACAAACTATGGAAACACGTTTCTTACCCCAGACTCAGTCTTTGTGTTGCATCAATCTCAAACATATCAGGAACATCATCCACAGCAAGTAATTCTAATTCAAATCTCAACTTAGCACCTCCTGGTATATCTGGTTCTCTATTAAATAACAAATAAAAATACATTTAGAAAATTTATTCAGTTATGTTTGTTAACTGTTCAATTGACGACCATGTTTAAAAATTGATGAATATTTTGCTTTACCATAAAACAAGGCTCACTGTTTATATGGTAAAATGAATTCAAATGCCCTACTGCATGTAGGTGTTCTGTTAGCACCATTTGTGTTAAAGGTATAATGCTCGCAAGTATTTTGTTAGCAGTGTTATGTTAACAGGTGTACTGCTAAAAGGTATTATGTTAGCAGGTGTACTGTTGGCAAGTGTTTTGTTAGAAGTTGTACTGTTTGTAAGTGTTTTGTTAGCAGTGTTACGTTAGCAGGTTACGCCAGCAGATGTTCTGATAGTATGGGACCCCTCAACAGATGTTCTGATAGCATGGGACCCCTCAGCAGATGTTCTGATAGCATGGGGCCCCTCAGCAGATGTTCTGATAGCATGGGACCCCTCAGCAGATGTTCTGATAGCATGGGACCCCTCAGCAGATGTTCTGATAGCATGAGACCCCTCAGCATGTGTTATGACAGCAGGTGCTCTGTTAGAATTACAGTAAAACACATCTTTCATCTACCATTATACTTTAGCTAATTTTGCTAATTCAACATATAGTGTATTCTGTTTGTCACTTAGTCGAGCACCCCACTCGAAAAATTGGCCAAAAGACAATTCTTGTTCACCATATGCCAGATTATAGGGAACAGTAAGTCTTTTTTGATGAAATTAAAAATGCGAAATAAGTTACATTGTCATTGATTTCTACATATTCATGGCAGTCGATATCTGTAACATATAAATTTAATTACCAGTAAAAAAATATGGGATATTACCTTCCTAAATCACCATATGTAAATCGTGAATCAGATAGCAAAGTACAAACTTCACCCATCTCCATCACTGCAACAGCTAAATCAAAAGCTATGTGAAAAAAAAAAATAGGTTGACTTTAATAGTTTTCAAATGGCTTTTAATGGATATTTAGATGTGTTCAGTAAAGGTTGTACAGGCGAAATATCTTGTCAGGTAAGCGGTACAGACTTCAATAAGAAATTAATCCCTTTACACCTTGAACAATAAGTATTGCTCAAAATCACTTGAGATTTGAATTTAAGAACAGGACACCATGAATAAAATAGATACAGAATAACAGTTGAAATTCTCACCAGCTATCACATCCCCATCACCAAGGATAAATTTCAAAGACTCGCAATCTTCTACTTCATTATCATTCTCTAAATACGTTTTGTATTTTACAGTCACAAAGTCTCCTCTTGCGGGTCGACTTCGATAACCTCCACCAGGTTTTAACACCTTCTTTTTCAGTTGGCCATTGCCAAGTATGTCCATCCATTTCTTTTTCTCAACTTCTTCTGGATCGCTTTCCTTAGTGTCCTCATTGCTCTCTGTAGAATTCACTGTTGGTTTTGGTGCATCTCCTGAACCATCCATTTTCTTTTTTTCAACACTCACTTCATTTACTGCTGTGTCATCCTCACGTGCATCATTTTTGGTGTCTCCACCCCCAGCATCAGTCGTCATAGTTTCTGTTGTCATAGCATCCATAGTCATAGTATCTGTTGCCACATCTAACTCCGCAGAATTCTCATCCTCATTGTCTCCCATAGTTTCAGTCCGTTTTGTATTATCTAAGCTATCTTTAGATCCGTCAGTACCGGCATGGTCATCACCACTGCCAACATGTTCTACACTCTCCATTATTTATATCTATCAACAATACAAATATAATAAACACATTGTACCATTGTCACATTTTAGGTATTTTTTATAACAGATTGCTGCAGAACAATATGGGTAATTCATTTCTAAATTTCTTGCATTTTCCGCAGTGTTGAACATGCAGTATTCTCCCCAGGCCAAAACAGCGTCGCGGGCCGTGGCGCTATCGGATTTGCCCTGTGACGGTATGAGTTTCCTTCGCGATGCTATTATTTATCCCATGATCTGATTTCTTCAGTCTCTCACAGACTGTAAAGTTTCCTGGCTTACTAGTTAAATTTAAAAATGCATGGTATTAACGCCAATTTCTTGGGATAATCCCCTGTTTTTCTCATTGGTTGGATATCGTTTTAAAAAACAAAGCAGTTCTATAAAGACAAAGCCGTAAGCCATGGTGTCAAACACTCTTTGCCAAATGTATATTCATATGCAAATGATATAGTCCCACTTGGGGTCAAAAGCCACACGTTTCCAGTGTGTACAAAACGTATTTTCATTATTATTTTTAGAAATGTAGTTGTACTATTATTCTAGGTTTTGATTTTTGTCAGCATTTTTGATATTGTATTTGTTTTTTGATATCAAAATGTGAAAAAAAAAATATATTTATGATGTAAACAATTTTGACCTCGTGATCATGAATTCAAGATGGCGTCATATGCACGTAAGATCCAGCGAGCATGAACTTCCCACTTGGATCGCATATCATGCTCAGATCCGGATGTATTAAGTGGAGCATAATGGAAGATAATATATTTATCAAGAATCCAAGAATTCTAATCAAGAAATGTGACACTTGTGTTATTTCTTGGAGGAAAAGCCTCAATTTTTACGTGGTATAACAATGGCGACCATTCGTAATTCAGACCTCCGTTGTTGACTTGTTCACAATTGTGTTGAATAGACAACATCGATAAATAAAAAATGACATAAAGATGGATAATTTCAGCCAGAAAAACTATTATTGCTCGAACCATAGATGTACATCCATGCTCCTACGTACCGGTAGTAGCGTAAGTATTGTGACTCGTATCGGTTGTTGTACTTGACCGGAAAACAACACAAAACAGAAGACAATCACTGAGACTCATCAACCCAATGTTTATCGGGATCAAACAGGGTTTTATAAAGTTGCTGATTTATGAACTAAGCAACAAAACAGAAAACTCAGTATTTCCGTGAGACATTTGCAATACTAAATATGCAGTGCACTTTTATTGTATACAAAAGAGTGATAAATTGTACATAAAATGAATAGAAAAAAAAACTGCTTACGAATCATGTGCAAATTTATACTTATTAGGCGGTGGATATTCTCTTTTTTGGAATATTTTTTTTCAAAATAAATTTCCAGTCACCATTATCAGTGTTAACATCATTGCCCCATCAGAGTATCTGGTATGAAGTCCACATATTGCAGCAAGAAAAAACAGTACTGATACAAAATTTGGTTTTCTCCGTGCCCTGTTTGATCACACAGAGACTGATGTTTATCATGCAAGTTCTGACGTTTAGAGTGAAATATCAGTTATTTATTTATTATTTTACAATAAACATCAGTACTGTTGATGATATGCACCATGGACATGTGATAAAATGTTACAACAATATGTTATATCAAATGACAAACTCTGGGAATTAAATTTTTCCAACTGACTAACCAGCAGTTGTCAAGATGAGTGCAACGAATGATCCAACTGCGAAAGAGAAACAAATTAAGTAATACCTTACAGCGCCCTCCTTTGGTAGGTTTTTGTGATTGATTTTCCTAGAACCTAAAAACATATATCCGGTGAACTATTATAATATTACGTTATCCGAAACACCTTTAATATCCTACAGTGGACGTACCATTTCACGAGATGTGTCGTGCTGACAATTGCATACAACTATTTAGTGAGTCTGCTCAATTATTTTACCCCAATTTATTAAGATCCTGATTTGTGTGAGTTACTGAACTGCTGTTGAACCCTGCGAAGATTCCCAACACTGGCCTACAAAGTCCAGAATGATATAATTATAGTGCAGCGACGTAATTTACAAATACCGTTTGCTGAAACTTATGATGAAATCACATAAACAAACAAACTAAATTTTCAGTTGAAATAAGAACGCGGCATTAACAAAACTTACCTCTAGGGTGACTCGCCTGACCCCCGTGCAGTAAACATGAAAGGTGCAGAGATTTGCCAAACAAACACACAACGCATTAGGGCCTCGCAACGCAATCGAAATTCAGTCGATCAGTTTCATTTTAAGAACATTATGTGGTTATATTAGACATCATCGTCTATTTTTTTCTTTTAAATTTTTAAATTTAAAATATAAATTCTAATTCTTGATGCGTCGTTAGGTTGTAGGTATACAACAGCAGCAATTAACACTAGTTTTCATTGGGCTAGGGGCTCTTTACACTAAAATGGCGTCTGATGCTGTTCGGCAAGATTTCTGGCGAGAGAAACATGTCAAATTTTTCAGACGATGCCTAAACGTTTTGCCAGAGCAGTATTCATCTTTAGATACCAACAGGTAAGTGTCATGGTGACCAGGAAATGTTACGCAGTTGAAATAACCTCAGAAATGAAAATATCACAATTAAGTACAGGTAGTGTTTTTTTGTTGAAAAAAATTAAATCATATTTTTGGATTTCAAACTATCACTACCCGAAATACAATCATTTATGCATTGTGCAATGGCGTATCTCGTCGCGTGGACAAACATTTTAATTAGATCAATGTGTGAAAAAAAAAAAAAAATTGTCGAAATGATGGCGCTCGAGTGGTGCAATATGTGCGACAATGACCATGTTGAAGATGAACAACATTTTGTCACAAATTGTCCTCATTACAATGAAATAAGATTAAAACTTTACATTGTAGCTAATAAACGTATACCAAATTTTGACAAATTTAGTAATGAAAATAAATTCATATCATTACTAAGTGACGAGAAAATGTCTATTCCTTTAGCGCAATATTTAAAAAACTGTTTTAATACAAGACAGCAGCACCTACATAAACTAAGCCAGTAATACATTCCTTGTATTCAAATTATCTTTTTTTTTTTTTTTATGCCTTTTTGTTCCCTTACTCTTTATGTGGTTATTTTTCTTTTACTAATATCTGATTTGTAACCCTTTTCATCCCCTCCGGGGGATGTTGTGTGTTAATAAATAAATAAATAAATATAGATTCATTTCCGTCGGCTCAATTTATGGTGACAGCTTTCTCCTCATATCGTTTTGTGAAAAATAGTGATTATTGTTTTTTGGTTATAATTTCATACGCATAAACTAAAAGATTTATGTTTCCCACTGTATGCCTGGCACACTTATCACAATATCGTAACATTGATATGTTTTCGTTGCAGAAAGTACTGCAGTTTCATATTCTCATAAATCTCGCATCTAGATGTATTATGTTTTTTTTTTTATGTTTTCAGATTGACCATTGCATTCTTTGCTTTATCGGGATTAGATGTACTTGATGCTTTAGATGTTATAGAAAAAGAAAAAGAGTCCATTATTGACTGGATTTATTCTTTACAAGTTCTTCCAGATGATACAAGTTAGTATACATATAGCTATTCGCATGCATAATTTTATCATAATCAAATGTACACTGAACATTTTTAGTCTCCACTGCTAAATATGGCTGCATTCTGTCATTGGGCTTTTGTTAACAGAATATCTAATCAACCAATCAGATTGACTGATTGTATTTATTGACCAGTCTGCCTGTGTAGAGTACTCAGAAAGATTGAATGCATATAGTTTCTAAGTTAAATGGAGTGTTTATCAGCCATGCTGTTTTTCCCTCAGATAAGAATATTTCACAATGTGGTTTTCGTGGTTGGCGGATTGGTGCACCATATAACCCATCAAAGGTAGGCAGCAAAACGAATTTCAATAGATTACTAATATAACTACAAAAGACTAATTTTTATATTATAGCGCCATCTATAGGTGGTTTTGGAGTTTACTTTGTTTATGTATCTGTCTTTTTGAACCACAAACAGCTTGGGTATTTGAATGATGAATTTTAGTTGCTTGTATTATAGACCATTTTACACATTCAAAAAGTTTGACACAGTAAGGCTGAATGCTTGATGGAGAAATCATTAAAACTAGTATTCAAGTGTGCTTTCAGGGTGATCATATAAACTACTGAATTTAGTATGAATAAATGAGTTCATCTGCGTGAGGAAACATGTTTTTATACATAATTTTTACTCTCATACATTAATGATTAATCAATATAATCAACAAAATCCATCCCAACTTAGGAGAGCACTGCCGTCTTGAATACAATCGATTTCCTGGATGGTTTTTATGTGTGTACAACATTTTTGTTGTAGGAATCATCGGTGTGTTTGGCCTATGATAGTGGACATGTAGCAATGACATACACAGCAATAGCATCTTTGTTGATATTAGGAGATGATTTAAGTCGACTTAATAAAGCAGCTATTTTATCAGCACTTAGAACATTACAATTACCAGACGGAAGGTAAGATGTGCAGTTCATTTCAAGTCCTAGATATGATTGTTTGGCTGAAAAGATGAATTACAGATGTGTTCGATAGTTTGATTTGGACAGGATAAACTTTATTGCATTATATCAAGGATTTATAAGATGAAAGGTATGTCGCAAAGAGGGAAGTCTCATGTTTTGTCACAAAAGTGGTCTAATCTTGTACATGTACATGTCAATCAAATGTATTCCTAACCAGTAGTGGCACTGAATGCACTAAATCCTTGGGAAGGTTAATGTATGTTGAAACAGAAACGATTAAGTTTTATCGCTGCATTCAAAAATGCAAAATGAATAAGCAAGGGCACTGTTATTCAGTTCTTTTACAGACTCACTAAGTCTTGTGAGTGTGAGATCATCTTGCAATTTGCATGACTCTTCTTCAATTCTCATGAAATCTTTATCAGATATCACAAACTTGCATACATTCATCGTATAAATCCTTGTTATTTACTGTAGAGGAGGATATATTCACTGGGTTTAATTTTAGCAGGTTTGATGATGCAAGAATGTTCACTAGGCTTTAAACAAGTAAATTTATATATTCTTTTTGTTTAAACTAACCAGTTCTAATCAAGTAATAATCTTGAGACGCGCATATCACAAACCAGTCAGCAACTTAGCTGGCAATGTTGCTCTTTTAGTGTTTGGAACAATATGGTGATGACAGTTAAATAGGTTGACATTACACTCATTCATTAAAAACAACTATTTTTTTCCTCTTTTTGTTGTTGTTGTTATAGTTTCTGTGCCATTCCAGAGGGTAGTGAAAATGACATGAGATTTGTATACTGCGCATCTTGTATATGTTATATGTTAGATGACTGGAGTGGTATGGATGTAGACATGGCTGCTACATTTATAAATCAGAGTTTAGTAAGTCCTCTAAAATAATTCTACTTTAATTAATTAAAATGTTCTACTTAAATATATATCTTGTGACACTTAATTTTAGGGAAAATGTATTTAGTCTCTGTTCATTCCATTCCATTGACCTTCAGATTTTGTTTTAATTACCATGGGGGGGGGGGGGGGCATAGAACTTCCAATAATGGTATGGAATGCAAATTGTGTGGAAGTCATTGGTACAAAGCCTATACTGTATAGAATATGGTATATTTAATATTATCACATTTTAATTTATTAGTCATATGAATATGGTATTGCACAAGGACCAGGCTTAGAAGGACATGGTAAGTGTGGGTATGGTTTCTAATCAAAACATAAAAGTTTTGTTTATTATCAATTATAACATATTATCAATTACAAATATTTAATGTTGCGTAACATTTTCTGAAATGTTTTTTGCTGTCATTTTGGCCTGTAATCCCTTATGTACGATATTAGGCTTATCATGAGAATACCACAAAGTATACACTTCGCCATGCATTGGACGATACTATCACCATTCTGATACTACCATTGTACTGTCTATATGCATACTTAGTGGTACCTTGTATTATTAAGGTTGGTCATAGGTATTTCAACCTATTAAACAGAGTGAAAGTTATATCACAATTTTGTTTTGAAAGTGCTACTTAAGGTAGCGGGACTATTATTTGCATACTTGTTTTCATCTTCTAATTGTGACCAAATGACTACAAAAAGACCCAGGAAAGTATATATTTTTAGAATCGCCAGACTTCAAGCTTTTCAAAGGTGTGTTTGCCTTGCCCGTATCTGCATTCTATGTCCCGTTACTTAATCAAAGGTGAAAAATTACTTTTTCTGTAAAAAAAATAATTACGCATTTATGCTGGCGATAAGAAGTATTTTTTTCACTTTTTCTAGTTGTTCAATAGTCTGGTAAATTGAATGTGTCTGGTCAGTTTTACGCAAGCAACGCGTTTTAAAAAACAGTGTGCTGAATTTCAATTACTGTTTTAGTCGCATTGCCCACAACTCGTTGGTAAATAATCGATGAAATAGTTTGTCTGGACACATTCAAGTTTCTCTCACTGTCACCTCAAAGCTGTGAAAATTTGGTGTTAATCCGACGACAATAAGTATACGTTATTTTTTGTTAAAGACCTCGTATTTTGAAAAACATAAACTCCTAGAAAACGTCCATGAAGTAACAGCAAAGATGTTCAAGCTTGTTTATTGGCACAATCAATTTGTTTTCCCATCAAGGTCTGCTTTAACATGTGTAGGGACATCCAAATGTGTAAAGCTATTGAAACCAAAAAAATAAAGGAATGGGATAGCTATAATTGGATAAATTCGGCATATGAAAACACCAAAATCAATGATTTGTTTTCAGTGGCTGTGTGACCTTGTGTCTGAAACATT